GTCCTGTCTGTAAGAAACAGAGTGTGTAGTTTACAGATCAACATGGAGAAGAACAGAGAACCAAAACTAGGAATACAGGAAAAACATTTTTAACTACTTTCAAAGCCACTGTAAGAAGGCTCTGCTATGACTTTCTTTACATGCGATTCAACATATATGCCCTTTGCATTTTGACAGCCAGGTTGCTACCTTGTCCTTGGGACTGAGTTCCCTGTTCCTCTCAGGCCAGGTTGCTATCTTGTGTCGATATTCAAATTCGTTGTAATTTTGCAACATGTATCTTAATCTTAACTTCCACCCCTGTGCCGATGTCAAATTTGAAATTTCTCCAACGAATTCCAAGTTTCCCAGGGCTGTGGGCCTCAGAGCTTTTCCTTCTGTATTCAAGCCAGAAATTCTTCTATTATATATATAGGTTCTGTGCCTACAGCCTAGTTTTTGGGGGCTTTTTGTGAGAAGACATTCTTTTTGCCAGGATGTTGTAAAAAAGATACCTCTTTTTTAAACTTTAACTTTTGGTAAGACATTCAATGTAAAGGCCAGGTTATTTTATTGGAAGTTCCACTTGGGTCAGGGAGCTTGGCACCATTGCCTTCCTGCAGTTTGATATGTGTTTCTGAGGCTAGACAAAACATAGAGTACCTGCATTGCATTTGATTGATTGGAAGGAATGATGTAAGATATAGTTTATTTCCTCTAGAAAGATTTGTGCAGTATTACTCTTCACTGTGCATGGACACCTGGTAGATACCGAGGAACTTGATGCAGCCCTGAAATGGCCAACAGCTGAAATATACAGGCTGCATATTTAATACCACAGCAACAGTTGTTACGTTCCAACAAGGATAACACATGGTGGCAGAGGATTGAAATACCAAATTAAGTTCATGACCCTGTTCCTTTTGACTGTCATTTTCTCTGTTTAATATCCAACATATTCTGTAGTACTCTTCTGTGAGAGCAGTCATAAGAAGTTAATCTGATTTTTTTTCTTCTTTTTAAAGCTACACTGTTAATTAAAATACATGCAGAGGCTCTAGGAAAGAGGGTTTTTAGAAGGTTTTTTTAAATGTCTAAATCAGCTGCAGTATATGTATCATGTGATGCACAGGCTGGCTGTGGGAAGCAAAAGCATGTAAAACCAGAATAACTTGTTGGCACTGGCTGCTCCCATGGGACTGCAAAACTCTGCACATACTTTCTTGTTGGAAATAGCATCATTCCTTTCCACTCTACCCAGCCTTAACTTTCAGGTACATTTTTTAGCAATTCTTCTCACTTCTTGGTCAAAAAAGTAATTTTTTTTTCTGTTTTTTTTAATGTTTTGGTTCTGTTTTTACAGCAAGAATGTTGGTCAAAGTGTTTTGTTGTTTGGTCAAATTTTGGACATTTTAGTATGCCAAGGTTAGAATTAAATAGCAAAACTCAGAAGCAATATCATATGCGTTTTGCAAACATCTTGACATTGACTTATTCAACACTTTATTGAGGAAGAAAAGGTCTTCCAAATGATGTATTTTGGCTTTTCTTTTATCTTTTCCATGTTTCTACAGCTGAATATATGTTCTATATACTCATACAGTATGCATATATAGATTAGACATACTGTGTATTTCCAAAAATGCTTCCTTAGCCATATTTTTTTCCAAAATTCCTTGATTAACCGTTGCCTCAGAGTGACTTGCAGCCTCACATCTGACTTCCAAATCCAGTAAGACTGCTCAGGCAGTATTTGCCATGCATTAGGCTTGGCTTCAGGTGGAGCGCTTTTTCTTTTGAAGGTCTTCCATGTGAATGCTAAAATTAGTACACGTTGCTTGATTAGTTAACATTCTCATAGTATGCTCAGTTGGTAACAATTATGGCAAGCGAGAATTTACTACAATTTAGTGTACCTATTAAGAGAACTGTAGGCAAATTGTACTTGTGAAAGAATGCTTTGTATGCATTGAAAATTTTAAACTGTTTTCCAGTTAAAATTGATATTCATATATAAATCCCCCTTTTTAAAAACAAGGTGCCAAGTAAAATATTTGATCTTCCAATAAGGACCTTGTGTACATGAATCAAAAAGTATGTGAAAGAAGTAAGTACTGTACAGGGCCCCTGTTTAAGGTTGGTTTTTTTATTCTGCACTTGGCCATTTGTTCTCTGGGTTTTCTGCTGCCTGATGATGCTTCCCCAGGCTATCTGGACTGTTGCTGTCTTTCTCTCAATAAATTCTGTGGCTGTCCTGGTCTCTTCTCTCTCCTGCCCTCAGCCAGCTTAGAAGTTGCAGTGCCAGTGTCTGAGGTTGACGAGTGAAAGCTGTCAGAGTGCTTCTGGTCTTGCATGTCTGGTACAAGCTTCAGTTTTCATCAACTTTTGAAAAGCCAACAAGTGAACAAACCCTTGTGAATGTGAAGACTGGCCAGTATGCTGAAGTGGCCGTCTGGGAACTGCTGTATTTTTGGAAGGATTCCTACATTTTAAGGACTTTAACATACCTTTCACCCAGGAAACTTCGAAGCACTTAGATAAGAATGAAAACACTGACTCTTCTATTTAAAAAGAAAAAAAACCAGCACCTAAAAACCTTTTTGAAACTGTGACTCACTCACTCAGATGGTTATTGGAAGGAGCTATATATCATGGCGGCAGCTAGAAAAATGAGCTTACCTTATTCATATCTGAAGAGTTCATAGTGAGTGTCCTACCACTCATGTTTTTTAATAATTTTGTCATGTAATAAGTATATTGTGAAAATTACAACATTATAACAGGTTTATGACTATTTCTATCTATTCTGTCCATCAGGATTGTTCACTGATGCTAACTCTTGCAGTTTACAACCATTGGGGCTTTCCTTTACACAAATTCATATATTTATATGCCCTGTATCTATTTTTTTAATGTTTCTGGACTTTATCATTCCTGAAAACAAGGGTAGGCCTGTAAAGACCCAGAAAGCAGAAGGCACAAGAAAGAGTAAAAATTCAGTAATTTTTTTTATCCCTTCACATCTAGGCAATCTCATGATTTTGGAGGTGCATGACTCATGGTCACGTACACTCAGAGAGCAAAACGCTGTCAATTCCACTTGATTTCAAGTTGCCTCCCTCCAGGGGAATCATGCTCTCTCACTCTAGGAGTCTGAACATCCAATTTGTGTGCCATGTGCAGACTTTCAGCTGTAGCTCTCCCACACAGTGTATAGAGAGGCAAACACGTCCACACAGGACACCTGGCAGGAAATTGATTGCCGTGGTTCTCAGCGCTATTGTGATAGTCTTTTAAATGCTGCCTGGAGCCCTCAGTCAGTGCTGTCCCTTTCCTCCCAGTCCCATGTCAGTGTTCTTTGTGCCTTGCCCAAAACCCGTTGTCATTTTTGGGCCTTGCACTCACCAGGTACTGGTGCAGCACGTGGTATTCCAGTCACAAAAATGAGAACTGAGTCTCACGCAGCAGTGTTGTTATTAATGGCTTCACAGTCACATTTTCTCTTCCGTTGGGACTGTTGTATCAACATAGTGAGTATCAGAAAGCTCAACTCTTGATTTGACCACAGAATTTAACATGGTTCACTGTCAGTTTTTACTGGATACCTCTTTTATGGTCCTTCTTTGTTATTAGAAGTTTAAAAATACTCAGTGACTCAATATTCATTGTCAGTGTACATGACATTGAATACACTCAACTGCAAGTGATGTTGAATGTACTGTAGACTGTTACCTTGTGGCAAAAAAGGTGTTTTTTTCCCCCCAATACTACCTTTCTTTTCTTTTTTCCTTTTAATGTAAATATAGTTGAGACATAGGGTATGTGTAGTAGTCATTTGCCACAGTATGAAGGGAGATGTACTAGCTTCCATAGCTTCCGTGTGAGGGAGAAGTCAGCATCACAGCAGCAAGCATTAGCCTGCTTGTACTTTTATAGGAGTCTCCTGAGAGCTTACTAAGCACAACTTTAAATTTTCACTGAAAGTTTATACTTCCATCACAGTTGTAAGGAAAACCTCTGCATGGCAAAATATTTTGGGAAAATTCTACGTGTCCAATATTTATTCACTTTAACACAAAAATACTGTGTTAAACACACACACACTGTGTGTTTGGCTGTTAAAATGAAGAAGTTTCTTGATTTCTAAGTTCAAGACATTCACAGGAGGCAATCTCTAGAACATTTCCTCCTCTAAATCATAAATTAGATTTTGCATTATCCCTATGATTGGTCCTGTCAATTTCAGAGTAATGGAGACAGGATTTCCTTTGAGGGCCTTTCCCCTTTGACTGCTTTCCTCTGTGGAGGAGTGGCTTTACTGAACACAATCATTCATATTTGTATAGGTTTTGCAGAAAATGACATCCCATTGATTGCAAAGGAGTATTTCTTGATGATACACTTCTAAAAAGTAAAGTGTAAAACTGCATAGGAAATAAATAAGAGCTATTAAGAGCAGTTGGGAAGAAAAACAAGCTGTGAGATTCTTAAAATTAGTGGGAATACCTGCCCAAGTTCTGGGTCTACTGCAGGTCACCAGAGAAATGACAGTATTTCACTTTAAAGTGCAAGGATAGGACCTGTCAACACAAAAGATGTGATAAGACATTTATATATCCAGGCCAGCTACGGTAATCTCTTTCAAAAGGTGGCTGCATACAACAATCCCTAAGAAAATGAAGCTGCTTTAAGTAGTTGTCTAAATGTGCAGTTTTGGATGCTTGCGTCTGAAATTGCAGTCAGAGGTTTGGCAGGGGATGCTTGGCTGCCCTCACACTGAGAAGGCATGCAGCTGGTGGCTGCCCCTCCACCGGCACCCTGTGAATCAGCCATCTCTGATACATGCGAGTGTCTCCATCCACAGCTACCTGGTTAATGTTCTAACCTCTTCTTGACGTGTCACCTGTCCTCTCGAGTCACAGGACCTTTCTTCTCCCTCCCTTTCTGCAAACTGTTCCAGTTGGCAGTAACAGCCATCAGTGTTGCATTGCTTGCTCAGCGGTGCAATTTCCTTTCAGCTCTCTCTTCGAGGAAGTGAAACCACTGTGATGTATTTTTACATTTTGAGGTGCCAGAGCAAAATGGAGCACTACAGGCAGGAGAGAAAGGTTGCTGAGAAGAGCTGCTGTTACGGGGAAGGGGAAAAACCCATATTCACTCTGTGATAGCTTCTGACAGTGTTTCAAAGCACATGATAAAGCGTGCAGTGGATTTACTGGAATAAATAAGCCATAGGCAAGTCTTCACCTTGGGTATTTTGCTTCTCTTTCTGCTGTCAGCATTAACAACTGCAATTACTTTAGATGAGCAAGTAAGTTATAATTTTACTATTATTTAAGGAAGTATGTGTTTTTGTTCTGAAGGAGCTCTACAATCTTACTGCTTAAACTCAGTTTTATTTAAGCTGTGAAATACATTTTAAGTTTTTTTTATCATTGGTAATGAGGAAAAATTCTGACTATAAAATACAAACAGTTAGGAAGTTCCTTTTTTGATTGGTTGAAATACTGAAGTTTGGAATATACATATTTAGCAATTAAATTAGAACCCATGTAACAGCCCAGGGAAAATGAAGCTGACCTCTGATGTTTTTGTGGCAAAGTAGATAAAAGGTAACTGGCCATGCTAGGTAGTCCCAAAACTTGGACAGATTTTAGAGAAATACCATTAAGAGTTTAACAGCTTTTATAAGGGAGCAATTCCTGTTTTGATTACTAAAGGTAACTGCGTGTTGAGCTCCAATTTGTCAAATGTAAAATTATGCAATATAAGGGGTTTTCTTGTTGAAAAATTGTAAAACTTTAAGGAAACTGTCTAGTTTTCAGTTTCTTTAAATTGATACTTTGCAGGTTATTGTGCTAAAACCATACCTGAGTGTTCGTGTGACTTTCTTCAGGCAGGTTATGTAGATTTAGAACTATAGAATTGTTCAGGTTGGAATTACCATGGAGCATTCGATGTGATATAGTTAGAATTTTATAAGAATGCCTACAGCATCCTGGTAAAGAATGCTTAAAAAATATGGATATTTTGTATATGTGGGATTTTCTCTGCAGATTTCTGGAAGATATATTGAAACAGTAACTGCTATTAGTGTGAACATCTGTATATTTGTGAAGAATGTGAGCAATTAATAAGTAAGAAGACTAGGTAATAAAAGTTATTATAAATTGATATTCCTGGTTTGGAAAGAGAAAAAAAAGTTATTAACCTGTGGATCTTTGTACAGCATTGGCTGTTGTGTTCTAGTATTTGACCACTCTGAGATACTTGGATTAGTTTTATTTGAATAGTAGCAGTTGGGAGTTTTACATTTAAAAACACGAAAAGTGAATCAAATATTTTCAGTTCAGAATAATTGCTTAGCATCTTCAATGCCTTCCTGTATGTTTGTGGTTGAGAAGTGTGTCTGTCTTGTGATCTTGAGTGTTTTGCCCAAGATAGTTAACAAGGGGTTCTTTGGTTTTTGAGTATCCTTGTGTAGCAGAGATTTTAAAAAATGCTCTCAAACACTTCACGCTTCAAAACAAAATACTGACATGCACTGAATGTCTTAAGAAACAAACCTGCTTGAAAGTTTCTGGGATGACAAAAAAGAAGCTAGTTATTAAGTTTCTCAAAGATACTGTTGAGTTAAAAATACAGATCTGTGTTTCATGTCCTGAAGGACAAGTTTCTTGTATTTGCTGAAACCCCTGAGGCACCCTGCGTCTGAACACACCCAGCTGCCCACATACCAGCAGTTAAGAGGAAACCTTTTCCAAATTCAGGGACTTACTGTCTGACATCTGCAGAGTTGATGTTTTCATTAAAAAAAAAAAAAAAAGAAAGGAAATATTTCCAGTCCCTGTGTTTGCTAAGCAGACCTTCCATATGTATAGTAAATGTAAACAGATGAAGCTTTCCTTCAGCCTGTCTGAGACTCCAGGAAAGCTGCAGCACAACGGCAGCCATCTCCCAGGCTGTTCAAACTGGAAATGTGAACTCGCATGCGCCTTAGTGGAGAAGGTGCTGCAAAGGGAGCGTCCTGTAAATAATTGTTGCTGGCAACAGAACGGAGAATAACATTTCACAAGTCAAGTTTGTGAAGGAACATTTGGGGTCTTTTAAGTATCTGAACAAAATTACTGACTGGTCATTGGGTATATTGGTGCAAGCAAGCATAGTTTGGGAAGTGGAAATCTGTTCTAGTATCTACTTCATTGGTCACCAAAAGATTTCTTTAAAAGGTTATGCTTGCAAGTGTTATGACAATCCCTAGACTGTTAAATTCTGGCTTTTACTGCATTAAGTATAGGACATAGAAATGTTTATCTGTACTTGCTTTCCTGAAAACTAACTTCTTCAAATTGCATCCAGAGAATCTCAGTATTGTTTGCTGACAGAGGATTTTTGTCTTTGTTTTATATTCCTGTATGTCTTGTCTATATAGATATCTACATATATATAAAATATATATAAAAAATAATAATAGATGTGTGGGTTCTGAATTCACTGATCATGTAAAAGGCTAAGCAGGAAAAGGTTTACAATGGTAGATTCACTGAATTACTATCTCTATTGGAGTAGTAGTGGTTAATTGTCATGACATTTGGGGTAGTCACAGTTTCAGATTTCATTATGAATGTGAGAATCGGATGAGCCTTAACGACACATCTGATAAAATAGGGCAGATTTATTGCCTCTATTTGAAATTCCATCAATCCATGTATATATATAGAGATCTTTTAAATGGTTTCTGAGCAAGTTTATTTGGTATTTTCTCAAAAATAAAACAGTCTAAAAGAACGTAAGCCTAAAGAGAGCAGAGTTTTAGGGATTTAAAAGATGGAGTTTTCTGCAACTACACTGCATTATTTTTGTGGCAGTTACTAAGTCTATCATGAATGGCTAAACATGGAAATATTCCTTAACTTGCTGTCCAGAGAATGTCTATGTGGAAGTACTGACTGCATACTTTTTTTTACCCCTAGTGGCCACAGATGTCTTCAACTCCAAAAGTCTGGCCATTCAGGCCCAGAAGAAGATCCTTGGAAAAATGGTGTCCAAATCAATCGCAACTACTTTGATCGATGATACAAGCAGTGATGTTTTAGATGAGCTTTACAGAGTAACAAAGGAATATACACAAAATAAAAAGGAAGCAGAGAAGATCATCAAAAACCTCATTAAAATAGTCCTCAAATTGGCAATTCTCTACAGGAACAACCAGTTTAATCAGGATGAAATAGCATTGATGGAGAAATTCAAGAAGAAGGTTCATCAGCTGGCTAAGACCGTGGTCAGTTTCCATCAGGTGGATTATACCTTTGACAGGAACTTTTTGTCCAAACTGTTAAATGATTGCAGAGAGCTACTCCATGAAATCATTCAGCGTCACCTAACTGCAAAGTCACACGGACGTGTCAACAACGTGTTTGATCACTTCTCTGATTGTGAATTTTTGGCTGCCTTGTACAATCCCTTTGGACCTTATAAACACCATTTGCAGAAGCTTTGTGATGGGGTCAACAAAATGCTAGATGAGGGGAACATATAAGTACTTGTATTAGAGGTGACTGCCCATGAATTATTTGTAGATGGAACACTGTTGATTTATGAAGGAATAAGGGAGCATGCAAAGAGGGGGTTTTTTACATATTGACAAATATTTCCAAATATTTCCAAATGTCTTTATTAATTGATTTCTTATTATGAACTATGTGTTGCTATTCACAGTCCATCTGGAAGAAAGACTGTGCAGGACTATTTTTACTATGCTTTGCCTATGGAAACAGCTTGATAAAGACAATCAAACAGAATGATCCAAGTAGAGTAAGAGTCTTGCAAGATAGATACACAAACCAAAACAATATGCTGTCAGACAATCAGCATCTTTCATAGATTTACAGAATTAATTCTAAACTATCAGAGTCCAGTAATGTTGGTAACAGACTATCCTGGTGATGGTACACTCTGTAATTTTTTTCACTTGTAAAATAGATATATTTGATTCATTTATAGTCTTTTGTGCTCTCTGCACAGATCACAGCTTCCTAGTATTGCCATTATGAAGCACTGAATTTAAATAATATCAACGATGCTGTCACGTAAGAGTCTTAACAGCAGGCTTGTGCATCGCCAGCTCAGAGATGAAAAATTCCTGTCTGGAAAGAAGGATCTGCCAAATATAGATCCTTATAGACCTGCACAGATGCTTGCTTACTTTGATTATATGGGGATTATTTGAGGAATAAGCTACAGTAAAGTAGCCGAACTGGGGAAGAGTATTCCCTAGAAACCACCTGCAGTACCTAATTTTAACTCTGCCTGTGATAAGGTAAAACACAGTGACTTCTCTGTGCAATTCCTTGAGATATTTAGAATTCTGCTACTAGAATCATAGAATCAGTCATTTGGGTTGGAAGGGTCACAATTCTTTTTGGAAAGGTGTGAGTCAGTGTATTTTATATGCTAGTCTGATGTGTATGATGATGTGAATTGACTAAGGTTGATCATCTGAAAATAAATTCCAGCCAATTTGCTTTCTGTACAATGAAACTAGAAACAGAAATTAGTTTTATCATTGTGTTATATACTATTTAACTAATGGAAAAATGGAATTTTGAATAATTTTTTTTCTTCTTTTCTCACTTCCTACTTTTTATCCTTCTTCTTCTCCTTCATCTTCTCTCTGCCTTGACATTGGGGATAAAAAAATGTGACTTTCTAGACACTGTAATGTACTTTAGAGCATGAAGTTAATACATTTCAAACAGCCGAAGACTTTTTGTTAGGAAGCATATACAGAATTTGCTGTTTATTTAATTGCCAGTGTTTTTGCTGTTTGCTGTGTCCTTTTGTTTTAATGAGTAAACCAAAGAATATTTGCACTCCAAAATTTTCTTGCCTTTTTTTTCTCCCATTGTTTCCTTTTAAATTGTAAAGAACAGACTTGGCCTATGCCATCAACAGAAACATCACAGCCTCTGACATATGGTTTCAGCATTACTTGTAATTTTTAAGAGAGAAAATTAAGTTTTATTCATGTTTGGTTTGTCATTAGGTTCTGAATATTCCTAGAAATGTGACAGAGAAATGTGTTCAAAATGTGAACTCATTTTATAGAAGCCACTAGCGTCCAGCAGAGAGAGAAGATTTATGTACTACTGAGCTGGAACAACAGGATAGTACACCAGAATTTGCCAAGAAATAGATTATTAGGTAGATATCTGAAGGAATATCATGTAAGATCCCTTCCATTAGTTTTACTTAAACAATAAATACATTATACTGGTGTCCATCAGAAGTCATGTATAGGGATGCAACATCATGAGGAAAATCGTACAAATTGTAGAGTTTAGTTTCTGATCTATTTATTTTATTTTCCCACCTAGAAGGAGAAAGCTATTTGTTTTCTTTACCAGATTTTCTCTCGGGGGTAAAAACAAAAAGGAACTTGAGTTCTAGAAATTGAAACAGTTTTCTTTACAAATCCTATTTCTAAATCATGTTCTGATTCTCCCAAAATAGCATAATTTATAAAAAATAGTAAGAGTTACTGAAAGGAGAGGACCATATGTAATATATGCATGTGCTGTGTAAACCACAGAAGATTTTCTTCAGCCATGACCCAGAATATTTTGATTGCTCAGATTTTTATTTTCTCTGGGATAAAATTTGCTGAAATGGTCTCTATAGATTGTTAATGAACACCTACTTACATGTATATGAGGCATGTATATTTTCAGTACACAGTACCTTCTTACTTAGCTTCATTATCTGGCTATTTATTGTTAGAATAAGTGAAAATTGCTCATGAAGATTTGATTATAAGCATAAAAACTTGATAACTAGGAGAACTTTTATTTAGCTCACAATTGAGTTGCATTCTTCTGAGATCCTGTAACAATGGTTCTTGTCTGACATTAATTTTGAATTACAAAGAAGAGACTTCCGTAATGATGAAAGAAAACAATTGTGTTGGGTTTCCAGCATCTACCATTGTGAATAGAATGACCTAGCACTCAAGCTGTATACTTTTTCAGTTACTTTATTTCTACAGCAACATACATAATTTGTAGCCTTAATTATAAAAATTCAGAAATAAGTTGATAGCATTTTTCCCTGTAGTAAGGCATTGACCCTCCTGCAGAAACTTGACATAGTCAGAATTTTAAAAAAGGTTAGAATGGTGCTTTTTAATTAGAGGTAGCATAATGCCATTATTCTGTGCTGCAAAACTGATACAATACTGTGTTTTAATAGGGTAATAATGTATTAAAATCCAATTGTCATAGATACATTTTATAACAGGCTTTTAAATCTCAGTACCTTAGGTGTTTCATATTTGTAATGCTTAGTTAATATGTCATGTCTAATGCCATTAAAATACATGTTGGTGAAGTTCTGGAAGTTAATACTAATTTTATAGCCTTTTAGAGGCACTGAAAAAGTGCCAGGTCGGACCTTGGGTATGTTTTGCATGACATAAAGAAATGTAATCTCAACCATACAATGAAAAGAAGATACAGGGAGGTTATCATGGCCATTTGGTGTGGACCACCTTAGAAGGGATTCAGTAGAGCTTTTGGCCACCCCTTAATTATGTTTGTGTGCATAGACAAACAAAAAGACTCGGGTTAGTTACAAGCCTTATTCTTGTCCTTGAGCTCTCTTGAGATTTATCTCCATTTAGAAGGTACAGAGATTATCAGGAATCTGGAAGCTTTAGGCAACTGATGTAGGGTGATATATGTGGGTTTTTTTTTCCTAAAAGGAAAATACCAAGTCATGTGTCTTCTAAAAAAAGATTCAACCCACCCATTAAGCAAATTCCTGTAAAATAAAGGAGTGAGATGGCCAACTGCTTTCTCATATCTCTCCCCAAGGAAATAAGGAACTGATTCTGATGGCAGTTGGCTTCAGTCACTTTCCAGCCCCATGTAGCTACAACAGCTATAATGTGATTATTTAAAGGTAAACTGGACTTCTGCCTGTAAATTTCCAAGGGATCAGAGAATGCTTGTTTTCAAGGCCTAGCTGAGAGGAATCCACACCACATCACTGTCAGAGAAGAGTGTTAAGGATGGATAAGTTGTACACTGTGTGGGCTTGGATGATTTCTCTATGGATCAGCATTGGCTATCTGGTGACCTGCTACCACGGCTTTCCTTTAGCTTTACATGCCTCTTCTGCCCTACTGAGCACCTGAACTACTCCTAAGACAGGTCAACTCCTTCCCTACTGTTTTTACCACAGAATTATATTACATTGTGTATGCATCTAAGGGGAACAGTAGGTAGGCTACGTTACCCACTTCCCTTGATGAAAAAAACCCCAGCGGTAAACACCAATTTCCTGGGGTTTTTTTGCAATGTAATTTGATCTCTGAATAATCTACATTTTTATTTAGTTGTTAATACTGTTTTGGCTATAATCTATACCCTCATCAATGTAGTAAGCATTTAGCTATGATTTCACTACATATACTTCTGAGCTTTTTTTTTTAAGTGCTTTTGAATGCATTACAGAGGGAGTACTTCAGCATGAACATGAAATGAAAATTCCTGTTTGCATAACCATTTGGAGAGAAACTTTGTTACAACTGTTTTTTATTGAGATTTGGGCAGGTCAGCCAACATTCATGGTTAAGTGGCAAACATCTGTGCTCTGGATAAAACAACTGTCAAAGGAGATCATATTTGTCCAGAAAAGTTCTGTAGTATGTTATTTTTTATGTTTTTCACATAAATGAAACTTCTTTTGGGAGAGGAAAGTGTCCTACTTATCTCAAAACCAAAATTGCTACTCAAAATGATACTATGACTATTACTCAGAAAGTTTAGACTAGGTAATGTAGTTATTTCCAGTTTGTTACAAACAAAACAAAACCCAAACAACCCTACTCAAAAAAAACCCAAAACAAACAAACAGAAAAACCCTTCCCTTTGAAGAAGTTCTGAAAAACTAATCCATTCTAAATTACCAATCTTTTCATGCTGAATTTTGCATCCTGCAATTGAAATTATATCACAAATTTGTAATTCATATCTGTAGCATTAAATATGTGATTTATTTTCCATGTATAAAAATAAAGGCTATGTTGAAGAGCTTTCTCAGTTACAGTAATGCTCAGTCTATATAACAAATCAAGATTTCTTAGTGTTTCAACTACAAATTGCTGAAGTGACCTCTCTTTTCTTAATACTCAGTTTTATTATTTAGAGTTCTGTTTTCCAATTTTAAATTTGATATTTATGAGCAAAACTCTCCTGAATCAATACCCATTTTGCCTTGAAAGCTTGGGAAATACAGGTGCTGATATATAACTTCTTACAGTCTGTAAATTTCTACTTGCTAGCACAACACCAGTTTCTGGAGAAATATCCCTTGCAGCATTTCTTTCTATTAGGGAGCAAATTGAAAAGAGGCAGCTTATACCTTTGGGATGTACCATAATTACACAGTATCAGGCAAAGAAGCAGCCTATAATGATTAAGAATAATGTAATTAAGAAGGTACTTTACTTACCCAGCTTTCCCAAGCAATCAAAACTTATTTGCTATTTGTTGTTCTCCCCTGTGGGAAAGTTTTGGTGTGGTAGGTGGAGGACAAAGGTGGAGCTTCCTACAGTTACTGTGATTTAGATATAAATTACCATCACAGGTAAGACATTCCACTACTCTAAAAATTGTAACACTAGATTTTACAATTATACTTTCCATTGGCTTAATGATAAATTAATTCTTATTTCAATTTGTATTAAATATTTGAGTTTAAAATATGCTTTTATTATGCACTTAAATATGAGCTGAAACAAATTAGAACCTGGCCTTGTGCATCATATTACACTTCCTTGGCTTTTTTCCATTAGTAAGTTTTTCGTGTGCTATAAAGAAGCTTCTTATTGGATATAATTCTGAAGGTTTTCATAAATTCAGGTTGTTCTATGAGAAAATTGTTGGCTTTCCACCCACTTGTTCTCCAGTTCCTGCTGGCACCTTTTCAGAGTGTCAGCTTACTGGTCTTTAAACATGGCAACATAAAGTTTCTAATTGGCAAGACATTTGTGAAACATTTTGAATTACATTTTTCAGATTTCACTTACTGTTGGTTGTTCTAGCCAAGCCACAGATCATGGTGGCTGAAAAATATTGTTTGAGGTAAATTGTGTGAGGGTTTTCTAATGCAGGGAGTATGGTGGTGTAGATGGAATAAATCAGCTCAAGTAGGGCCCATACTCCACCAACCCTGCTTTTCTTGTGTGGGAATACAAACGCACCAGTTATACTCCACCATTTATAGTCCATTACAGAATAGTGTTGAAAAACTACTTGGCTTTCTTGAGCAGGATTTAGACATCTTTTATTTTGGGAATCTGCTTCAGTAGCTGGGCTTGGCTTGGGTTCTGAGAAGAAAGTCCCATGGCTGTTGATAGCCTGATGTTAATTAAAGGTTCGTGTGACATGACAGGACAGCCTTTCCCCATTCCAGAAGCACTTAGCTGAATCTTTCAGCTTACTTCACTGACCAGACTTGAGATACTATGGTTTTTTGCTTTGTTTGGGGTTCAGTTTTGTTTTTGTAAAGAGTCATGACCTAGAATTGTGTATTATCTGCTAGGCCTGCTAAGAGATTGCAGAAATAAAAGAGACTGAGGCTATCTGGTTAATTATCCTTCGAGGCTTTGAGCCAGAGGGGAGTAAGTGCATCGGTCCCAGGACATGACATGAGATCAGCTGTTAATTTCAAGAGAGCTGGTTCTGTATCTCAAGGATCTTGATAATTCAGCAAATTATCTCATCCTTGGAACTAAAGTGAGTCTCTTTACCTAACTAAAAAGCTGTCTCAGTGACAGGCTGCCTAACTTGATTTCAGTGGTGTGGACACTCCCAAAGGTACA